ACACAGACAACCCCGTGACAATATGCGTTTTGTACTGCTGTTACACAGCACAAAACGCATAAAAGCGATTACTATTAATCGGTTGGACGTAGGCATTTCACTTCCATTCAGATACCACTAATAGCGGCACCCAAGAATTTGTAAAAAACTGTAACTGGCTGCGTTTTAGGCGGAAATTCGAATTCATCTGGCGGTAGCAGTGCGCCACCACGTCCACCACCACCGAAAGTAACACCGAATGCAGCGAATCCGTTCGATGTGGAATCGCCTATACCAGCACCACGCAGTGTCGGCACTCTCCAAGGTGAGCAGTTGGTGTCCTGATATCTCAGAATGTTTCATTTTAATCGTTATCTTTATCCTTATCGTTGGCGTAAGTGGGCACTGTTTCCGTTGTTCCTGCTTCTGAACCTATCACATCCAGCACCATCTAAACCCTTGTTTGGATGAAGCCTAAAAATGCACTTTGTTGCTTTTTAAGGCAATTTTATCAAAGTTGTAGAATTCATCTGCTGCACAAAGACACTCTATCCGAAGCGCAACAGCAGCACATCTTTAGCGGTGGTATTTTTACACCAATTTGAAGTATTTCTGGGTCCTGTCATTTTCTTAGATGTTTTTTTTTTTTGCCAGGGTATCATGCGTTGGCGGAATACACAGAAAGATGTGTAAAATACTATATGTAGTTAGATGTAAGTGGAACTTTAAGTAGATTTTAACTGAGGCCGCATTTTGCAGCAGGTTCGCTTATGAACATTTTTTGATCGTTATTTTTTGCTGGGCTGAAATTTTCATCGAAGCAAACACTGATGTTGCTAGGATATGTGACCGATTGTAACTGTGCTCCAGTTGGCCTTTTATTATTCGCATGAGATACAAGATTTAGTCTTTCAGCACTTAATTCTGTTATAGGAATTACTTGAAGAAGACCAGTTAGTTAAATTTGGGGACACTGAAATTCACACCGGTATTCTAAAGAAATTAAATTTTAAGTAAATATGACGCGCGAGAAGGACGGGAAGTCGAATTAAGTTCAAGGGATACGGTGGTGCTATTTGAATATAAATCCGGCATCCTATTTATGAAAAACTCCCTGGGGTGCTGACGCGGGAATGTGCGTGCATGTAGTATTTTTTCTATTTCCTTGTCTGTTTATTATAGCTACAAGAGAAGCAACAACTGGCGCTGCACCGCAAAATCTCAGTTATCAGCAACCGCCTCAGCAACAGCTCCAGCAGCAACAGTTCGCACCTTTTGGTAACTGTTGAAATCATTTCCACTGCTGAGGGGTTTTTTTTGCTCACGATTTCTTTTTTTTTACCGTAAGGAAAAATTTTTTGTTTATTTGTAAGTTCCTGTCTTCACTTTTGTTGAATTTTATTTTTTCATTGTTATTAGCGCAGTATGCTTTTTGTGTTATTACCATCATTGTTATATTATTATAACACTCTTAGAATATTATTATTATTATCACAAAAAGGCAACTTCTTAATGCATGCAGGAAAACTGCCCAGGCCGTTCACTCCGCAAACGCATCACCACTTCGGCCTTTTTTGGTACTTAGATCCTGTGTAGCAGAGTAACGAATGTCGGCCAGTCAGGATCCCTTTGACAACCGCGCTTTGACAGTTTGCGGCTTTTTAGTTCCACAAGAAAAAAGTAAATAGCAACGCACACCGGACTAGCCGGTGCTGTCATGCGTTTTATGCAATTCAGCCCGTCGAACGATTGCCTATTAATGATTTTCACTGCTTTGTACTTTGGTCTATGCAAAAATAGTTCAAACATTGGGGAACAGTCAAAAATTTCACGTACCAGCGCATGAAAGCTGAATTCGAAACCTTGAAGGGTGAATATCTTTCCGTGATTCTCGGATAAATGGCTTACCCTCCAAAACTTTTACGAGGCCATAGGTGATACTCAGGAGCGCGGCAACGCTAAGTTTGAATGGGCAAGGTTGAGCATGGGCAGTGGGTCATTACCCTAAAATTTCAGTCTCCTAGACTCCGTGGTTCCCGAGATATTAATTTACCCGTAAAAAACTTTCGCGGGGCCAAACGTGTTACCCGCGGGTAGGGGAAGCTGAATTTAAACTTGCGAGGTTACACGTGAGTGGGGAGCGTTTCCCTAAATGTTCAGCTTCCTAGCTTTTGTGGTTCCCGAGTT